TCCAGCCATGGCCAACAGGTTTCTAGTGCTGTGGGAACTCCATTCTATTACACAAAGCTCTCACTATGATTATTTTTCCAATTTCACACTGTTGATTCTATGGGCTAAACTAGATTTTCCAAATTGATTAATTACCCACTGATATAACCATCGGCACGCACGACAGCCTGAGTGATGCTTGCCCATTTCCATAGCTGATGACAAATTTGGAAAGATGTGGAATTTGGGGTTCGATTTCCCTTCGTTTTCATACGGGCCTTACATTCTTCAATGATTAGTTTAAGATTTTTCTCCAATTTCACCATGAATAATTCTAGGTAAGAAATATCATGAAATGCTTAATGAAGATTTTCTATCATTTGATTAGTGTGTGCGGTGTTTTATTGCGTGTGTAATCCAATGATAGAGATTTTTTATGAAGTTTTTCATCATGTCTAACATTACTCTTTCACCATTGAAGTTGAAGCCTGAAATTCTTTCAGGATTTGGTGAATGACAAGGTTCAATTTGTGTGTGTGTGTGTGTGTTTGACAATTGATCTAGCCACCTGGCGTGGCAGCCTGAGTGATGCTTACTCTCTGAGTCACATTTTTTGTCCTTTGGTACGCAGACCTTTATCGCATTGGAATATGAATTACCAAACAAAAACCCAGTTTGATTTGTTAATATCTTACAATTAATTTGTGTTTGGTTGATATCTAAACGGACTACATGATATAAACTGAGAAAATAGGTGTGCAATGTCCATTTTTAAATGCATTATTATTATTTTGTGTGCAATGTCTATTTTTAAATGTATGATTATTATTATTATTTTGCGGCATGATAAGATGTACATGGTTAGTAACTTAGTAGAATTAAATTACCACTAGTTGACTATACTTCGTTGACTCAAATATGAGGTTTTACCTTACTAACACCCAAGTGTCATGACCATAACCACTTTAACTACCGTCCAAGTCTTCCCTCTCGTCTCTTAGGATATCCTTCCTGCTTAATTTCTCATTATTCCTATCAATCAAAATGCATAATTCCTCATTCCTCCATCAACACAAGCACTGAATTATAGATGAGGAAAAAGAAGTAAAAACAATCATGAACGTATTGCATACCACCCCATGCAGCTGAAGATTCTATTGAACTAGATTTGTGATTGTTTACATTGTTGTGATTGAAACAAAATGACAGGATTCAATGATAAGTTTACCAATCATTCATCTGAAACCACGAATAAAGCTTGACGATTACACACAAAATTGCAACCACTGTTCACCGCATTCTTCAAGTGTTTTTAAATCACAATTTTCTGCATCAGTTCAGATAAAATTAACAGGCCGGATCGAATGATGATGAGTACTGAATGTGCCTCTTCTGGAACTTGAAACTAAAATTTGAGGAGGATTTCAGGCAGGGGTAAGACTCGTGATCTTCAACCCGGCATCAAAACGCCTTTGATCCACTAGTATACATATCAGGTTCCTGACCAGATCAGGTCTCCAACATTGATAATGGGAAAATCAGTAGAGCAGGAAACATCAAATACCAGCTGTCTTCAGTTTTTTTAAGTTTTTTCCAAATAGATTTTAACTAGCCCGCAACATCCAAGCGTGTAGATAAATAGAGGACTCATATGAATTACCAAATGCGTAAAATTATTCAATAAAAAAAGTAAGTTCTATCAACTACAGTTGGCAGCAGTTATTGTGCTGTTAGTACAAATTCCGGCATGAGATGCCAGAAGGCAAAACACTCTAAACAACCTAAGCCATATTTGGAATATAACATACAAAGTTTTTGATATGCCAAGTTCAGAAGCTGCATTCAGCATGAAATCACTTGCAACATTACCCATTCAATGGCTTCCCTGATGGTTTAACCAAACTTGATTGGCAAATGCCATGAAATATTCAGTTGAATACCAAAAAAATAAACTTGAAAGGCGCAATAATGCCAATTATTTTCAAGGTGAAGTCTCCTATCTCTCTAGTACGGTCGATACCTTGTATCTGTTCGCGACGGTCTCCCTCCACCCATGCCGTAACCCCACTGCAAAACAAAACAAAACAAAAAATTGCAAAGGTTATGAGATAATGTTGTAAAAAATATTTAAGTTCCCAATTGTGACCAAATTAAATTGCAAAAAGAAGCATTACAGAAACTGACAGGAAAAATCTGCAAGGACAATGTATACGCGTATATATTCACTTGGGGTAAAACGCTCTTCAAATAGACTAAACAAATGTGCCATCAAAACTTAAAGCATTGCCGGTGATGCTACTACAAAATAATCTTAACTACACAAATTTATAAGCATCTATATGATACTATCCAAATTAATAAACCAAATCTACTTCACTTCCAAAATGAAACAAGTAACACTTGCACTTCTAAATAAACCGCTCCCAAAGGAGGCACATTAAAATGCTGACTTTCAATACTCTATTTATACCAACAACCACAATATGCATTCTTGTTACACTTACATCATCAAAATCCAGGCTTCCATACATCCGCCCATAAGTACGCATAGGACCATAACCCCCGCCATATGGTTCAGCGTTATCCATCATGAAATTTCCACTGGGGCCAGCATCATCAACAGGTGTAGCTGAATCAATGGCAACCTGCAAAGCAAGTTGGCATATACAACAATTAGAAAATGGCAACACCATTCCTAAGAAGTTTAATGAATCAAGTAATAGTGTCGGTCAGTATTATTCCACTTTAATCAATACTCAGGCATCTGAGAAAAACTGTTGGAATAATATCAGTTTGTCGTATTATAGATATTTTTGCAATAATGTGCCTGAATTATGAATCTGTCATAATCTGGCCCGTCTATCAATGTAATTATGTGAACCAGAGTTATGAACTTGTCATATCCTGGTAGTCAAGTTGTGTTAGTGGAGAATCATCAGGACACCAATAATGCGTCGATGAGGCTAACAGTGCACTCGGCATTATTGCATGCATCTTTGATATTTTCTCTATAAATAGGGGTCTAAGCTTATAGTTTCAAGCATCAAGACAAGTCCAAATAACTACACTTGATACTTGAGAAGTTAGGTATAGTATGATTTCTGTATTTAAATTCTGAAGGCAGTATAATCCTTGAAGTATAAGTTTGGAGTAAAAGACGCAGGCCCTATATCTGGCAGAGAGGAGTAAGTCCAGTGAAACCCTGTGGTGAACAACAACTTATCCTGGTAAGGAATACTTGGACCTTGATCCCTAAATACAGATTATAGTGCTTCCTTTTGGTAAATTAGAAACCAAGATAGCTCAGACTAGTTAATATATTTTTACTCAGACCAGAAGATATGATATAATGAATATATGGGAACAAAATATTAAAGAATGGTATGAAAAATCTGAAACTTCACGCCTGAACTACCTTGATCTTAAGTTCTTTGAGCTCCGTCTTGTATTGAATTGCCTCTTCACGCAGACGTTTCATCTCAGCTTCACACCAGTGTACTTCTGGCAGTTGGTCAGAGTATTGGTTGTCACTGCAAACGGCTCTGGCGATGGCTCAACAAATGTAATACAATTCTTTTCTTTGAAGAACAACCCAATAGTAACGAAACCTTCTCATCAGCATGACGAGATCAAATAATTCTCCGTCAATTTCATTTAGTTCACAGGTCTGCTGGTGTACTTCTGGCAGTTGGTCAGAGTATTGGTTGTCACTGCAAGCGGCTCTGGCGATGGCTTCAAGCTTAAGCTGCTGGATCTTGCGTAACTGTTGGATTGCTGTTCTTGCCTGTTCAATGGCGTTATCTTCTTCCTCGGCGAGACTGACCTGGATTTCTGCCATTTCATCGAGAGGGATTCCTGAGTCGTAAGTGAACCTATCTTCAATTTGCTGCAGAAGAGATTGGTATCGTACAGCAATGGGATGAAATTGAGGATCAATCCAACGACTTGATGGCTCTGTCTGGGAGAGAATGATCCGTTCATGTCTCTGAAGGGCTGGATAAGTTCTTCTAACTGCTGCAGGCCGATTAACACTTCCATATCGTCCGGCTCCACCTCTGTTGGCCATTCTGTACAAGAAAACAATGGATAAACAAGTCTGGAGAGAGCATCAGCAAGAGTATTGTCAGAACCAATGATGTGTTCTAAAGATACTTCTATGCCTAAACCAGTGATTTAGTCCGTAAATGCTATCCATCTAGACCGTGACGGTTTGTGGTCCACTGTTTTATTGAAAAAGCTAATTATAGCTTGGCAGTCTGTTCGTAGAGTTAGCTGTGGCTTATCAAGATAATATATCTTGAAAGCATCCAAGGAATTCATGCAAGCATATATCTCCGCATCAATTGTTGATTTGATGGGATTGAATTTCCCACTTGCATAGGCACAAATCTTTTCAGTTGATCGAGGATCATTCACAGCTGACTTCCATTTGCAGATTCCTCCCCATCCTTCCATGCATCCATCGGTTTCAAGAATGATGACACATTTTATTGGAGGAATAGATAAATTTGGCAGTTTCTGGATTTTCTCCTTGATCTTATGGATCAAATTCCAATCCTGAGCATTAAGCCTTTTCTCACCATTTGGGCTTACTTTTGAGTATAATGGGCTGAGCATTCGGCCCAAATCTTTGACATATTGCCTGGCATAATTCAGAAGGCCCAACCAAGAGCGTAGGCCCTTAGTATTTGTGAGAGTTTCATCAGGGAATTGGGCCACCTTTGTCACAATGTGAGGTTGTAACTTTATTTCCCCTTGCCCAATTGTTGATCCAAGGAAATCAATTTGTACTGCTCCAATCTTCATCTTCGTTGGGCTAAGGATAAGCCCATTTGTTCTGCAGATTTCAAGCATAGTCTGGATATGCTTTGAGTGGGATCTCTCATCTGGAGAGAAGACAAGAATGTCGTCAATGTAGACTGCAATAAAATCTTCAGTTCCTTTAAAACATAGATCCATCTTCCTCTGGAAAACTGCAGGAGCGTTCTTCAGGCCGAATGACATAACCAACCATTCATATAATCCAAGTGGTGTCCAGAATGCGGTCCATTCAATAGAGTCAGGGTGCATGGCAACCTGGTGAAAACCACTTTTTAGGTCAAACTTGGAATAAATATTACTATGGCCAATTTTTGCCATAATAGTATTAATCCCAGGTAGACTATATTGATCCTTGTGTGTGTTGTCATTTAATCGCTTATAATTACACACCATGCGTTCTTTGCCACGTTTTTCTTCCTTCGTGACAGGATCAATATAAGTGCCAGAGTTTACAATGAACGCCGTTGTCCGATGCCGACTTTTACTTGCTCTTATCACCATACACACTGGCAGTTTCATAACAGAACCATAAAAAAAGGGCCATACAAAAACTTGGTATGATTGTATAATCATCACTTCAATTAACATATGGGTAGGGCTTCGAGTTTCTGAAAAACCCCAGCCACGTAACAAAAAGGAAAAGCTTACTTTTGCCTTCTCGGAGCTTTACTAGAAATCAGCCAATCCACCCAAAATCAAATGACAGAACTATATCTTTCAAATCAGGGCAGCCTAATACAGGTTTCAAAAGAAACATTAAAAGACAACCAAGCCAGCTAAAGCATTGCCCATCTACCTTCTCAAAATTTAATGGAACGTTGGATCACAAATTACCACATGGTTGTGAAATGTATAGTTTCTGGCAAATAGATTTTCTATGCCATGAGAATTCAATATACAAGCACCCAAAGGCACAGCTGTAGACGTGGGATTTACATGCAAATGCTTATGAAAAAGACTGAAACTGTCAACATCCACACTCCCAAAAAAAAGCATTTTTTTAATGAAAAGAATATGTCGAGGAAAATCCTGCCATTCAATTCTTGCAAGGAGTTTCAACATTAATACGTAACACAAAAGGCAATAACCCTTCCAATAATACCTGCTGTCCACAAATCTCATGAGACCTACGAGAGACACGATCAGCAACACCATCTTCAGCAAAGGTCACAAATCCAAAACCTCTGTGGCCAGTTCTCTTAGGATCCTGCATCATGATCACGTAAACATTTCAAAATCCAGATCCATCTGTTGTACCATAAAAACGCTGCCATTTTACCTTTGGAATATAAACGTCTAAAATTCGTCCAAATCTACCAAAATACTGACGAAGATCATCAACTGTAGCCTCCTGAGGAAGCCTGCCAACAAAAATCTTTTTGCCCATTCCTCCTCGAGTGGATTCCCCCCCTAAAACACCAAACAAATAAACATGAGAGCATTTCCAATAGTACTCTAAAAAATTGCATGAGCACATATGTGGAAAGAAACTTACTTCCATACACAGGGCCCGGATGATCATATAAGGTAGGAGCACCAAGAGCTGCATATGTAGTTGCCGCAGTAATATAAGCATTATACGCCCCATATCCACCCTGCGTCACACGGCTTATTGGTGCCACACGGTTCATTGGTCTGAACTCCTCCTCCTGAGAATATAATATTGAGCAGAATAAAAAACTGCAGAGCACTTACATAAACAATTAAATACATGTTCAACTTACTGTTAGAAAAGCATTCACAAAACTATCTAATGTCTAGGATATGTGACTTTCCATGATATTCTAGATAAGTAAATTATATTGCAAGGTATTCAGTGAACAAGGCTCCCACTTACATCAGGATGTAAAGATTTAAAGTTTCTGCAGGCAAATAGAAAAAAAAAAAAAAAAAATACAAAACTGAACAGGCCAGTAGTATTGCAAATTGCCTTGGGTGTTGCTCTGTCCACAACAATAGTTGAGCCTCCCAATTCATGAGTTTCAGCCATCAGGTTGTCAACAGATTCTGCCACCAAAAAAATTAGTTGATTAATTTTGTGAACATACAATAGTCTGAAGACTCTGAACCAATAACAGCTCACAAACACACCCTTCTTTGGTTTGGACTTGCCATACTTCCTTTAGTTTGAACACATTTAGATAACCTAGGGTTCGGTTTCGGAAACTAGGAGAGAAAAGAAAGCAAAAGAAAATATTAGGCATAAGAAAAAAATAAAAGAGAAGACAAGAAAGGATAGGGATGTCTTCCTTCTTGCTTGGATAATTAGGTTAGATAAAGAAGAGAAATGAGTGTTTTCCTCAAAAAGAAAAGTTTCATTATGTAAATAAGTGGTAAAAATAAAAATAAGGAATATTAAAAAAACTAGTCTTCCTCTTCGTCTGTCCATTATAATGTGTACGCATTTGGTTGCTTCCCTTTTCACTTCTACCCCTCCTTTCCTTCCTCCCCTCTCCCCAACAACCAAACACACTGCAAGGATCATCTTCAAATCAAAACAAAATATGAGCGGCATCCAATGCCCATATAACATCTTATACATTCCAAAAAAGTTCAACGATACACTCCACAGGTCTTGATAGTTAACGCATCATCACTCACTAAAATTCTAATTCTCTCCAATGATTGTTTTAAAGAAGCATTCTGAACATACCAATTCAACTTAGAGGACAATAGAGGCGGAAAACAAAAGCAACTTGAATACCTTGGTATGAGCCACAACATTGTGGCTGCATTCCAGAAATGCTGCTAAACAAACACACCTACCCATTACAAACTACTCCCTCTAATATATCCCCCCTAACCCCCTTTTCTTTTTCTGTATATCACACTATGCTCAATCTTCCTCTATAATCCTCCTTTAACCAATAATCACAAAGCATGAAGTAAATTTCTTCATGACCATGTGAAACCTAGAAGAGAAATGACAAGAGACATAGTCAATTGAATAAAGCAAAATCAAGGAGGCGTAAATTTAGGACTGACCAGCAGTCGCAAAAGTAATGAAACCAATTCCGCGATGCCCTTTGGTACTTGGATCCTACAAAAATGATACCATTAATTATCAACAATGTAATTCACAACCCAAGGATACATTGCATCAGTATCTTTACATTCCAATAATTTAGTAATGAGTAAGTGCAAGTCAGTATCTGTAGAGATGTAACTAAAAATGTTGTCTTCATAATGTCACGCATTGGAGTGAGTGTGTGTGTGTGTGAGGGTTTGTGTGAGAGAGAGAGGAGAGAGGGGGGGGGGGAGAGAGAGACCTTTGGCATGTATAGATCTGTTATATCACCATATTGCTCAAAATAACTGCAAGAAAAATAATACAAGAAGTTCAAAGCTGCTCATCACAGCTCAAGAATAATGTTTGCAATACGTAAATTAATCACCTAAAAAACCTTTCACGAAAACCACAATTACCTTCGGAAAGCCGCTTCTGTCACAGATGGTGGGATCCTGGCCACAAATATCCTGGTCACTTTCTTTGACGGTGCTTTCATTTCCTCCTATCAAAAACATTTGAGAACAATATACATATAATTATTAGCAAATATCTCTACAACTATACACATACAATCAAAACATTATTGAGTGTAAAAATAAAAGTAGCATAGAAATTACAATGGAAGATTGCAAAAGTGGAAAATGATATTAGAACACAACCTTCGGTGTGGCTACTTTTACTTCCAGCATTCTATTGCCTATAACATGCTCACTGGACAATGCATTCTGTTTCACATGAGAGAGAGAGAGAGAGAGAGAGAGAGAGAGAGAGAGAGTTATGGCATTAGATATCATATTAAACCTGCAAAACTGATATTGCATCCAAGTGAAGTTCTCAAAACGAACAATTGACAAACATCAACATACAAAGATTAGAAATACTTGCATGGAAAACACTACAAACTAACTAGACTGTCCAAGAAATGAGATAATGGTAATTGACTGAAGAAACTAAATAGATAATCAAGGAGTCACCTTAGCATCCTCAACTGATGCAAATGTCACATATCCAAAACCACGAGAACGACCACTGGACCGCTCCTACAAAGAAAAGAAAAGAAAAAAATGACAAAATGAATGTATTTAGCAACTTAAATAAATAAATAAATAAAAACACAAAATTTGTTTTTAAAATTTATCCACAACAGCGTCAGATATTTCGCCATCAAACTGTAGAAGCATTAAACAAAATTGTCACAAGCAAAATGGGATAGAGAATCTAAAAGAAGATCACAAACTCTATGAAGCTTAAAAGTTAAAAAACACATTCCATACAGGGTAATATTTTACCCAGATTCAAAACTCTCCACTAATTCCTGGATTCATCCTTCAATCAATAAAATACACCAAACCCCTATCCCACACTGGTCCAAATTATCCCCAGACAATGCAAAAGCAATGGAGTGAAAATTTCAACCCTATAATATTGGGAACCCAGTCATGCATAGTAATCAGCTCTTATAAACAGAAAATAGTTGTTAGCTGGAATAAGAAAAAAATGTCACTATCCCTTAAATGAAGAACCTTCTATAATCTCCATCTTGTTCTTCCCAGCAATCAAAAACAATCGGTTCATATAAACAAATTAAATGTCAAAAAAATTATATATTCCTTGACACAATTACGGAATATAAGGGAAGGGAAGACTGACCTTCATGACAATACAATCCTCCAGTTCCCCAAACTTGCTCATATAATCCTTCAAGCCATCTGTATCGATATCCCAAGGGATACCCAATACCTACAATCCATACAAAAAAATATATACCAAATTGTGTATGTAGCAAGATCAAATCAAACAGTAACAACGAGATGAAGAAATTCGAACAGAAGAGAAGAGACTTACCACAAGCTTTCTGTCCGACATTATCGAGGAAGAAAGATACCAATTTAGGAAATCGAGATAAAGGGTGAGAAAATCGCACACTCTTGATCGCTCTGCGCTCTCTCTTGATCGCTCTTCGCTCTCGATCTCACTTCCCTCTCAATAGAACTCTCACACTCGACTCCTGCACACAACAGACACACCTCTTTCTCACACACAAACATCATCATCATCATCATCATCATATACCAAAACAAACTCACCAATTTCCTCCAATTCGTTTTCAGAATAACAATACAATACAATACCTAGAAAAAGAATACAAGAAATTATTAAGGGTTTAGACGCTCACTAACCTTGGTTGTTTGGGGTTTTCAAAACCCTAAACGCAGATCTCTCCTTTTTCTCTCTCTCTCTCTCCCTCTAACCTCTTTCTCCTTCTCGCTCTCTCTTCCTCGCTCGCGCCTCTCAGTCCCGCACTCGCCGGTCCTATCTGAGGCCCTTATTATAGCTTCCCGGAGAAAAAAATATATGGATTGGGTGGGTAAAGAGGACTGATATGTTTTGTGGGGTTAAAATAGTGGTCGATTTGGTCAAATATTAAGAGGTTGTTTGGGGTGTTTTAAATAAGTGTAATTTTTATTTTTAAGATTAAAAAATTGAGAAAAAAATATATGACTGTTTGGATAATTTTTTATCTTTTTATGAAAAAAATGTGTATTAAAATATTATATAAAATAATAAAATTACATTTTTACTCCTGACAGAATCATCAATGACAGCCAGCATAGGAAAGGACGGCTGGGTTGAAATAGTGCATGAGGCTTCACAGGTATTGTTGGGCCGTGAGACCCACCAAGGGTCTTGTTTCGATAATCCGAACCGTTGAATGTGCAGAACTCGTTAAGTACTATATGTTTATGAAAAATCATTTTAATCGGATATCGATAACTATGTGATTAAAATAGTTTTGTATGAGATTAATGGATGGTGAAAAATAAACGGCTGAAAAAAATATGATTCGATCACATAGCTATCTATATTCGATCAGCGTGATTTTTTTACAAACATATAGCACATGATAAGCTCTATACATTGAACGGTTCGAATTATCAAAAACGGACCCGTGTTGGGCCCCAACGGGCCCAACATTACTCTCCAACTTAATAAATATATACATCTATTTTTTTTTGTTCATTCGGATAGACCAATACGTACTAACAGTACCAACGCTGTCCAGTCGTTGTTTGTATTAAAATATTGGGGAAATTAATTTTTTTTATATTTTTAATTTGTGAATAGTGATAATTTTTTTAGTAACTTTTTAACTTTTTGTATTTTTCCTGATATGCCAAACCAGGCCTAAATTTTAAAATAATATAATTTTTGAGTAGATATTAGTTTTTAATAAAATTAATATTTTTTGAATTCTCTTATGAAGATCTATTAAATAAGAACCATGTTGATTACGAATTTTTTTTAAACAAAAAATTATTATCTTTGAAATTGATGTAAACAATAATAGTAACATGTTACTTTCTGGTTCGCAGTAATATGTTACACTAGTAATATTATCCAAGAAAGAGAAAAATATATATATATATATATATATATTACTTTGTTCTTACTCATTATGTATTTTCTCATTTTGAGTAAAAACAACTAAACCCTAGTTTTTTTTTTAATATTATTTGTCACTTCTTCCATTGTTTCTGACTTTGCTTGCTACACACTCTATACTCTTCTATTGCTTGCAAAACAATACTCTCATAATAACTCTCATATTGTTTTACTCTCTAGGTTTATACTCAATTATTTATACAGTTTTCTCATTAGTTCCACAATTATTCTTGATTTTGTTATAGAAGAGTTACAAACTAATGCAAGTTCAAAATCAAGTACAAATATGCCTGGTGACAGCAAACGCAGTAATGAAAATGTTAGTTTTTTTGTGCATAAGTTTTTTTTTCGATATTAATTCAGAAAACCAGTGTCAAAATATTCTATTTTATTCAAAACTATAGTGTCAAACAAATCAATATATTTTGGAACTACAGTGTCAAAAAAAATCAATCTATTTCGAAAGCCAAGTGTCGAATTAAAAAATGAATTTCGAAAAACTAGTGCCAAATTTCCAAAATCACAATTCTTCAAGGAAAAAACGAGGGTTCATTTTAATTTGTCAACGCACTCGTCAGAGAAAACAAAATGGTACCAAATGCGATAACAAAATCGAAACAAAGTAATATTTACCTTCAACAGATTTCAGAACTATAGTGTCGAATGGAGGATGAGGGTCTTCAATGGAGTTATTATCAATGGAGGGTCTTAAGTCTATAATCTCTTTAATGGAGTTTCCTTCACTGTGAACCGAAATAGGGTAGACCGTTGTGGACCGGATCCGCTGTTCTGGTTCTTGTTATCAGAGAATGAGGAGAGTTCTTCGTCAATATATAAATTGTTGATATTATTTTTGTGTATTCCTAATCTAATCCAGTCGTCTTCCTTCCAAACAGAGAGACAATAATTTTGACATAACTCGTATTGTACAAAATTTCGACTTACAAACAAAAATATTATTTTCTGCCCATTTTTTTACTTCTTCATTTAAGAAAGGAAATGAATTAAAGGGGCTAGTATATGAGGGGCTAGTATATGGGGGCCTCTCTCTTTTCTAATGATCCCTCGAAAATGTTTTTAATTGGGGGTATTTTGTGACATAATCGGTGGGACATCTTTCTTTGCAGAGTGCAAAGAATTATTCGTCTGTTTCTGCTTCTGCAAGTATTCCCCACCAGAGTTCGTCTCTGTTCTTCGAGAGACTTTTCCCTTTCAATGAAAATTCTCTCCATTCTATGATGTCGCCCCCATTTCTGTATATACTGTCAACTTGGTGTTGGACAATGGAGTTTTTCTATGTTTGGATGATAAATCCTCCCGTTCGTTCCAATGAGATCGAAAAATCTCGGGTTAGAGGTTTGGATCTTCTTCGTGTATTGAACCATGGCATGAAGGTGAGGATTTCCATCTTCGTGGAGCTCCTTTGTGACAAGTATGTAGTATGGATGACAAGCTAGTTAGAGAAGGGATTGGAGGAGTTCCAAGAGTTGTTCTTTTAGACAAGGGCATTGTGGGTAGGTAAGGAAAACATTCTTGGCATAGAAACGGAAAGAGGCTTGGTGAGGCATTTTGTAGTGGTAAACAGTGAATTCACACCAGTTGTACAAGGCCTCCCTATTAGTTAAAAAACCCGATGTGAATGGTGTGTGTGGTGTGACTAGGGGGCACTGTATTAATATTACTAACACCTCCTTCCCGCTGATCTGGGTCGTCTATTGTTGTACTTATGGACACGTGTATGGGTGGGGTTAAAAGGAAGTCACACCTGGGCCTAGGTGTGAGTGGTGTGAGTACTTTGATTCCTTTGCCAGATAATGCTATACATGTGTCACTTTTCTAGTGGTGTGTGTGGTTGTAAAGTAAATATTCTTACAGAATGATAGACATAAAACAAAGGCGGGAAAATAAATGTGTTTGAATTATTTTGAATGGGGAATCTTTGTACTTAATCACAGGGTATTTTTGCTATTTATTTGGTACCAGAACACATTTGATGGTATAGAGGAATATGCTTTTGCTGTGGAATAGCTATTGTGGTAAAGTTGTTTTCTAGTACTTTGTTTCGCCCCTCATTTTCAGTTTTTTTTTTTTTGTTGATTGTTTTGGTGTACAATGTTGTACTCCTTAAAAGAGTATCTCGAGAATTACGGGTAGCTCACTCAAATGTGTGTAGATCGTTTTTTGACGTGGCAAATAGGACTGTAGGAAAAGAGGCGGCGGTCAGTTTCGGCAAAATTGGTTTGTGGGTACGAGGAGCAGAGGGAAAATATATCAAAACTAATGTGTCTGAATAGAAGGGTTAGCAGAGGCAATAGAATTTGCAAAATTTGTAAGATAAAAGATTTGGAGTGTTTTATAAAAAATGGAAGGAGTAATGAGCAGCCAGTATCGGACTCCCTTTGTGTACCGCTGGTCAAGGACACCGGCGGCCAGTGGATATAAGCGTAGTTACCATGGTCGTGCACTTTTTAAGGCAGCGTACATTCGTAGACGGTATGTTTAGAATATTCCCCGATATATTTGGAAGACTAAAGGGGAGTAAGGAAGTTATAACTGTACGATGAACAATTAAGGGACGCTAAATTTGATAATAAAGGTGTGGCGAGATTGCTTAATGGTATTGAGTTGGGTAACAAGAGATGTGACCATCAATCAGAGAAGATCGCAGTTAAGGGTATAAAATAAATTGGGAATGTTCAATTGGGACAAGATGCTAAAGATGAAGTTGTGGTCCGCCACATATTGTTTTTCGTCATAAGTGATAATAGTCTGTCAGATTCCGTCCCCACACTTGACAAGATATTTATTGGAGTTGGCGAGGGTAATCCTGAGACCTCGATTGTTGATCTTGACCAGTTCGACTGGTTTTGGATGCTAAAAAAAATAAGATTCAAGCTTGTTGGGGGTAAGGACAAAGAGTATGTTCGTTACGGGATATAAGTTGTGGATCGGTTTTTCCCAGTTAATGTTTGGACGGACTATAAAGATACACTGTTGAGAAATGTTGAAAGTATTCAGAAGGGTGCCATATATTTAGTGACTGCTACTGTTAGTGGAAAAGAATGCAAAATTACATTAAGGAGTCAAATGTACTTTAAGACTGTTTAGAATTATAATTTATGCAGTTTTATTTGTAATGTTCAGGTTTTGAATGGAGGTGGACAATATAAAAACTGGTGTTGTTAAAGGTATTTCAGCAAGTGATTTCAGTTTTATTGAACTTGCGTTGCCTAATTTATTTTCGCAATTGAGGTTAAGATACAAACAAAAGAGTATTAAGGTTGATAAAATATTGATAAATTATTTGCGCACCCAATGCCAGTGGGTTGGTCAGAGTAAATGTTTATGATTAGAGATTAGATGGTAATGACAGTTTGCAAGTGTGGTTTATTTTTCCTGTGGATTGTCAATGCGGGTTAGTCTATTATGGGAATGGTTATTGTTCAATTAACGGCAAACAGGTGCCGTGGATGGTGAAGTATCAACTTGAAAATTCGAATATTAAAAGGGAGATTACGTACTGTAAAATGAAGGGGTATCTGATGTATTCTACGAGTAACATGTCAGAAGATTCGCAAATAAGGGCCCCGTCTATTGTTGTGTTATCTAAAAAATATACTAATGATAATGTTGATGTTTGGCATTGTGCCCCAACGAAGGCCATTCCGATTTTGACACGAACTAAGTCTGTGGGTTTACCGGAGAGACGAAGAGATTTGTTGTTAGGAGGTTTTGGGAAAAGTGGTTCAATTATTCTTGAACTCAGAGATCGTTTGAGTTTGTCTGAGGTTGATGTACGCTTAGGTGGTGATAACACTAGTGATGTTGATCCTGGTCCATCGATTTCGGAGGTTGGTGTTAGCAAAGAGGAAGTTGATCGTAGAGGATCAGTTGTTATGGACCATGCCGAATTTTCTAATGTTTTACG